GGGGAGGGGGGGGGGTCGCGAGGCGGGGGATTGGGGCGCGGGTGCGGGCGTAAGGGACTGGATGCCGGACGGTAAGGCATTTTGCACCCACACTGCCTTGGTGGGCGGCGCGGCGGCCGAGCCGCTTGGACAGTCCGCGGCGCTCTGGGGCCGCGGCTTTCGTGCGGGCGGGGCCGCGGCGCGCATGCGCGGCGAGCAGTACGTAGACGCGCCTGATGGGTTCGCGGATGTCCCTGCGCTCCCCGCGGCAACGGCTGCTGATGGTGCGCATACTGAGTTGCTGCACGAGCGCTGCACACCCCGCGGCACGGTGCCGCTGCTTTCCATTTCTGCTGACTGCCCTGTTCTCGAGGAGGCTCTCCTCTTCCCTGGATGCGCGCAACTATGTCCATCCAAACTATTGGTTCTATTCACTAGGCGTCTTGCCACTTGCTACTTCCGCCCCCTGTGGCCTCAGACCTTGGTGCCAGGAAGTTGATTGCTCGAGCGCCCGCGCGCAGGCCGCCAGAGCACGATACAAACCTGACTACCCGACTGCATCGATGCATGTTTCGCCAACCCCCTGTGCGAGGGCCGTTGAAGCCTTCATTTACGTTGTCATTTTCGTGTCTCCTGTGCTGGATAAACAGTAGGTGCGCGTGTCGAGGCGCGTTGTATCGCAACAGTTGAGCATGGAGCTGTGCACACGTTGTAAATCTGTTCAGGCGAACTTGGGAGCAATTTTTGGACACATGTGTGCTGCTGTCCCATCTGTCAAGGCCGCTTCTGCCCAGGGGTGCACGCCATCACACACGGCGACCCTCTGCGCCTTGCCAATAGCGTCGTTTGAAACGAGGGCTAATTCGCTGGGCAGCATTAAAGCAACAAATGTGGAAATTCAATAAGCATGATGCAACGAATGGATTTTTCCCCGCCCGGGCTGCTTCGCATGGCGCCCATGACGCCTCAGATCGCGCGACGCTTCATGCTCTGTTGGCCATGCGCGACAGAACAGCATTTTTAAAGGTT